GAAACTAAACAACTCTGTGCTCAGTGACAGCTGGATCAGAGAAGAAATTTAAAAAAAAAAAAGACATTTGAGAGTGCCTAAAATTCAATGAAAATGAAGGTACAACGTACCTAAACTGATGGAACACAATGAAAGCAGTGCTAAGAGGAAAGTTGATATCACTAAGTGTCTCCAGAAAGAAGTTTGAGACACCTCATACAAGCAACTTAACAGCACACCTGAAAGCCCTAGAAAAAGAAAAAGAAGCAGACATACCCAGAGGAATAGATGGTTTGAAATAATCAAACTCAGGACTGAAATCAGTAAATTAGGAACAAATAAAACAACTCAAAGAATCAAAGAAACCAAGAGCTGGTTCTTTAAGACAGTCAACAAGATAGACAAAAGCTTAGCCAAACTAACTAAAACACAGGAGAAACTATCCAAATCAGCAAAAACAGTAATGAAAAGGGGAACATAATGACAGACACTGAGGAAATTCAAAGAATCATTAGGTCTTACTTCAGAAGCCTATATGACACAAAATTTGAAAATATAAATGGAATGGACAATTTTCTTGATAGATTCAACTTACCAAGGCTAAAGCAAGATCACGTAAATAGATTGAAAAGGCCTATATCCTGTAAGGAAATAAAAGCAATCATCAAAAGTCTCCCTGAAAAAAAAATGCCCAGGGCCTGATGGTCTGAATTCTGCCTTACCTTCAAAGAAGAGCTAACACCAGTACTCTTCAAACTATTCCACAAAATAGAGACAGAAAGGACATTACCAAACTCATTCTATGAGGCCACAGTCACCTTGATACCTAAACCACACAAAACCTAACAAAAAAATAGAATTTCAGACCTGTCTTTCTTATGGATATTGACACAAAAATACTCAATAAAATACTTGCAAACCTAATCCAAGAATACATAAAAAACATCATCCACAATGACCAAGTAGGCTTCATCCCAGGCATGCAGGGTAGGTTCAATATATAGAAATCCATTAATGTAATTTACCACATAAACAAAGAGAAGGGGGGGGAAAAAAAAACATGATCATCTCCTTAGATCCCGAGAAAGCATTTGACAAAATCCAACACCCATTCATGTTTAAAGTCTTAGAGAAATCAGGGATACAAGTCACACACCTAAACATAGTAAAGGCAATATTCAACAAGTCTATAGCCAAATCAAACTAAATGGACAGGCTGTCCACTCTCTCTGTATCTCTTTAACATAGTACTTGAAGTCCTAGATAGAGCAATAAGACAACGAAAGGAGATCAAGGGAATACACATTGGAAACAAAAGAAGTCAAAGTATCACTATTTACAGATTGTATCATAGTATACATGAGTACCCCCAAAATTCAACCTGAGAACTCCTTCAGATGATAAATGCCTTTAGCGGAGTGGCTGGATATAAAATTAACTCAAAAAAAAATATCTGAAGCCCTCCTGTGTACATAAGTAAAAGGGCTGAGAAATAAATTAGGGAAACAGCAGCCTTTACAATAGCAACGAATATAAAGTACCTTGGTCTGAAAGACCTATATGAAAACAAACAAAACAAAAACAAACAAACAAACAAAACCTTCAAGTCTCTGAAGAAAGACATTGAAAAAGATATCAGAAGATGGAAAGATCTCCCATGCTCATGGATTGGTAGGATTAACATAGTGAAAATGGCCATCCTGCCAAAAACAATCTATAGATTCAATGCAGTTCCCATGAAAATGCCAACACAATTCTATACAGAACGTGCAAGAACAATTCTCAATTTCATATGGAAAAACAAACAAACAAAAAAAACCCAAAATTGGTAAAACGCACCTGTACAATAACAGATTTTCTAGAGGTATCGTCATCCCTGATCTCAAGCTGTACTGTAGAGCAGTAGTAATAAAAATTGCATGATACTGGTAGAGAAACAGTCTAGAGGATCAATGGAATTTAATAGCAGACCCAGAAATAAACTCACATCTACAGATACTTGATTTTTGACAAAGAAGCCAAAACAATACAGTGGAAAAAAGATATCATCTTCAACAATGGTGCTGGACTAACTAGAGGTCTACAAGTAGAAAAATGCAAATAGATCCATATTTGTCACCCTGCACAAAAGTAAAGTTCAAGTGGACCAAAGACCTCAGCAGAAAAACAAATAGAACTAAGCATGTTAGAAAAAAAAAAAGTGGGGAAGATCCTTGAACTCATTGGCACAGGAGACAACTCCCTGAACAGAACACCAACAGCACAGGCTCTAAGAGCAACAATCAATAAATGGGACCTCATGAATATGAAAAGACTTCCCTAAAGCAAAGGACACTGTCATCAGAGCAAAACAACAGCCTACAGACTGGGAAAAAGATCTTCACTAACCCTATATCTGACAGAGGCCTAATATCCAGAATATATAAAGAACTGAAGATGTTAAACACCAGCAAACCAAGTAATCCAATTAAAAAAATAGGGTATAGAGCTACACAGAGAATTCTCAATAAAAGAATATCGAATGGCAGAGAAACACTTAAAGAAATGTTCTACATCCTAAGTCATCAGGGAGATGCAAATCAAAACAACCCTGAGATTTCACCTTACACCCATCAGAATGGCTAAGATCAAAAACTCAAGTGACAATCCATGCTGGAAAGGATGTGGAGAAAGGGCAGCCCTCCTCCATTGCTGGTAGGAATGTAATCTTGTATAACCACTTTAAAAATCATTCTGGTCCTTTCTCAGACAATTTGGATTAGTGCTACCTCAAGATTCAGCTATACCACTCCTAGGCATCTACCCAAAATATGCTCAACTATACAATAGGGACATTTGCTCAACCTTGTTTGTAGCAGCACTCACTATTCATAATAGCCAGAATCTGAAAACAACCAGATGTCCCTCAATGGGGAAATGGATACAGAAACTGTGTTACATTTACACAGTGGAATACTACTCAGTTGTTAAAAACAAGAAAATCATGAAATTTGCAGGCAAATGGTGGGAACTAGAAAAGATCATTTTGAGTGAGGTAACCCAGAAGCAGAAAGACACACATGGTATATAGTCACTCATAAATGGTTATTAGACATATAATATAGGATAAACATACTAAAATCTCTACTCCTAAAGAAGCTAAATAACAAGTAAGACTGTAGGGAAGAAGCTCAATCCTCATTCAGAAGGGCAAATAGACCTCAGAAGCTAAAGACAGGAACAGGACAGGAGCCTACCACAGACGGCCTCTGAATGACTCTACTTATCAAGGTATTGAGGTAGATGCTGAGACTCATGACCAAACTTTGGGCAAAATGCATGGAATTTTACAAAAGGAGGAGGTAGAAAGACCTGGAGGGGATAGGCATTCCACAAGGAGAGCAACAGAACCAAGAAATCTGGGCCTAGGCATCTTTTCTGCGATGAATACTCCAACCAAGGACCCTTCTTGGACATAACGTAGAACCCTTGCACAGATGTAGCCCATAGACTCAGTGTCCAAGTGGGTTCCCTAGTAAGGGTTACAAGGACTGTCTCTGACAAGAACTCAGTGACAGGCTTTCTGATCACATCCCCCTGAAGGGTGCAATTTGCCAGGCTACAGATGAAGACAGTGCAGCCAGTCCTGATGAGACCTTATAGGCTAGGGTCAGATAGAAGGTGAGGAGGTACTCCCCTATCAGTGTTTTAGTGGAGGGGCAAAGGGGAGAAGAGGGACCGAGGATGGGATTGGGAAGAAACTAGGGAGGGTTCACAGCTGAGAAACAAATTGAATAAATTGTAATAAATAATAATAATTAAAACAAAAAAAAAACCCTGTGAAGTATAAGGTTAGGACTGGTACATGATGCAGGAAATCTAAGAAACTGCAGCAGTCTAAACTAAATATAGTATTGGCTTTTAACTTGAGCTGTGACAGCAGGATAGGGAAGCTAAGACAGAGAGGGGCATGTTGTGGAAGAAATGATGTATGTTACCATCATTTAGGCATAAGGGAGGCAAGATAAAAGGATCAAAGTCATCACTTGAAAAAAATGGAGGGATCACAAAATAAGACTTAGGTTATGTTTAATCCTGGATTTGAGTTATGTCTGCATACAACTGTCTAACATGCCACTGAAGTGTATATGTATAAAGTTCATGATACAGCTGATAGCCTGGAATAATCTGTGAGCAGGTCAAAGTTGAAGCTGTAAGGAAAGATCCCAGTGTACTGAGGAGAACAGAGTGTAAAGTCTAAATTGCAAATGTTAGAACCTGGGAAAAGCCTACAATGTAGGAATAGGATCAACTGTCAAAGAGATAAGAAGCCATCTGAGAATCAGGGACAGAACCAGAGACATGTGGAAGTATATAACCCATGACACTACAGAACAAGTGGCAAGTGACACCATGATGAAAAGTTCCAGCAGAAGCCAAACCAGCCTCTGACAGCCATGAAAGAACATTGACAGAACGAAGGAACCCTGAGCAACTGATAAAATAAGAAGGAGACTGAAGGGAGAGACTTAGGATTCCTCTCTTGAAAAATAACGCAATGGTAAAATAACTAGATATAAGCAAAAGAGAATTTTCCAGTACCCGTATGTTGTCACATAGTGCCAAAACCCAAGATAGGTACACAAAGAAAGGAATAGTAAAGGGGGAAGAGATGGAAGGTCTTTGAAGAAAAGTAGGCCAAAGAATGAGATGTATATATGGTGGAGATATATACATGACAGTAAAAGATTGGCTCTTCCTTGTTTCTTCTGCTAGCAAATAGAGTGAAAGGGGTAATGTCATTTCTGCAGCACTTTAAACAAGGAGTAGTAGAACAAAAAGAACCCTGACTCAGAGTTTGGATTCCTGTGTTCTGGTCTCAGCTTTGCTACTTACCAACTCTGAATTTGGACAAGTAATTGCTTCTCTCAGGGCTTCTTGTTTCCCATGATGGTAAAATGATCTCTTTGGGCCCTCCTACCTCTGATAATAGCATGTCATCTATTTCTTGATGTAACTTTTCTTCCCGAACTCTCTTTCAGGTACCGCAGTGAAAAGATGACCTTGAGTTATGCTGAATACCTTGCTCACCGCCAGCATCATCACTTCCAAAATGGCATTGGGCATCCCCTTCCGCCATACAACCATTATTCCTGACACTGAGCCGCACAACCAGTCACTGGGCCTCTCTGCAGACCTCTTCCCAGGAGACCCTACACCTTCTTGGTCTAGCTATCTCTTTTACTGTACTATTTTATGATGATAGTTTCCGTTGCCATGGTGAAGCTTCAACATTGTGAGTTAAGTGCATCATGGTAACGGGTAGGAGAATGGCGTTCGTTAAGAAGATCCTGTTTTGTTATTTTAGATCACTGATTTTTTTTTCTTTTCTTTTTCTTTTTCTTTCTTTCTTTTTTTTTGTAGCACATACAGCTTTTGGGGTTTTCTTTCTTTAAAATATTAGGTATATTTTTGCATTGCTATCTCAAACAGGGTTTCTGTCTTTTTTCCTTTTTTTTGTTTCCTCCTTTATTTGACTGTGGATGGAAGAAAGTATGCAGTTTTTGAGGATTTCTTAGGTTTGCCTTTAGTATTCTTCAGTAAGATAGACATTTTTGATAGCTGAGTTGGAGATTAATTCATAACAAATTCAGGTATTTGTATATTTCTCTTCTCTTTGTTATGACAGATTAGTACGTGGGTCAAGTACACATTTTTTCCCATAGTTAAAATAAGTGAGCTTTAGTTTAAGTAATGAACATTTGAAGGTCAGTGATAGGGCTTGTCACAGAGAGCAAGAAACGGTGTACGCCTTCTGTGCTGGTTATTGTAGAAGAGACTGCCTCGTGCTATAGAATCACTTTACAAACTAAAACACTGTTTTAGGAAAACATGAGCTACCTTTCAAATGGGCTGCAGAAATCATTTTGAAAGGCAGCAGATATTAAGAAGAGATCAGATGCAGAATTTAGTGCCTTGGAGAAGACTATAATTAAGTCAAATTAAGAGGGGTATAAAAAGGCAATTTAGAGAAATATTCTTATAAAATTTTATTGTTTCTATATAAGAAACAGCACATTACACAAATTCCTTACTCCAAAGTATTTTTTTAGCTGAAAAAAAATATTTTGAGCAAATAACCAAAAAGACATTTGTCTATTTTGTATTAATTTAAATTTATTAGCTTTAAGTTTCAATGAGTCATAATTGGTCAGAGACAACTTTAGCTACTATCTAAGATGTGATAAAGATAATCTAGTAAAACAAGTTCATACACACTATGATTTCAGATTTGTCTACATGGAGTCAATGCTGAGTTTCAGAGATACTATAAAGAGTTTAAATCTCTTTCTGCACTATATACTTTTAATAGAAACACATTTCTATGTTGACAGATGTTGTGTTGGACCTGCAAAGATAGCATTCACAATTAAAAACAAGGATATAATAAAATTTGCAGGCAAATGATGGAAACTAGAAAAGATCATCCTGAGTGAGGTATCCCAGAAGTAGAAAGACACATATGGTATATACTCACGTATAAGTGGATATTAGACATATAATATAGGATAAATATACTAAAGTCTGTGCACCTAAAGAATCTAAGCAAGAAGCAGATATGTTAATAAGAGCCCAGCTCATTTTCAGAGCTTTTCTTCCCATAGCACAATAAAAGAGAGGTTACTGATATCAATGGGAAACCCTTATGTTTATCCCCACAAAAGCCCACAGATGATTCTGGCAAAAGATGACCTTTGTTTATGGTAGTGTGTGTGTGTGTGTGTGTGTGTGTGCGCACGCGCACACACACACACACACACACACATATGTATATATAAGTATATATGTATATATAGATATTTGGGAAATATATAATTTTTTTCAAACAGGAAGTCAATATAACAAGTGATGAGTGAAATTATGCTGCAGAATATATATTCTAAAACTATGACATACAGGTGATTATTGAAAAGGTCAAGCTTATACATTTAATTGCTGTGACAAGTGACAGACTAGCAGTTCAAAAATCCTTTTTTAGGTAATTGGCTGAATTCATTCTCCTTGCCAACAGGGCAAAGAACACAGCTTCAGTTTTTGATGGGAGTTTTTCAAAGTTTGGAATTCCTTCATCCACAGCATCCATTGGTGAAGTAACCATTTTAAGTTATGATGCCTTAACTAAGAAGCCAGTTGCTAGCCTGAAAGGCAGTCTCAGTAGCCAGTTACACTGAATGCAGAAAAAACATAAGCTGCTGGGCTTTAGAACAAATGAACAAGCTTTTGTAGGTTCTGTTGTTTCTACTTGGACACATTGTGGGGATAGAGTAGTCTTTCAGTATAAAAAGCAAGTGGCTACCTGACATTTCTTGCCCTTATAGGGAAAGTGAGCACAAGCTGAATTGTGTTGTCTGCTGAAAAAAAAAAAAAAGAAAAAGAAAAGATAAATAGAAAGGAAAGAAAAAAGTAAATGTAATATACAAACTGAAGAGAGGCAGAATAGACCAATATTGTTGTGAAATCTCTTATCCATCATCTCATCATTTCAACAGCTCCTCATCCTAGGTGAGCTTATGGCTATTTTTGGTTTTTTGTTGTTGTTGCTGTTGTTTTTAAAGAAAAGATCTATCACATACATATATGCATGTATGTTACATATACTTACACATGCATACATGCATATGTGTGTGTTCATGTATTTAATGGTGCTAATCAATCTTGAGCAGGTCACGTGACTGGTCATGCGGACTCTAAAATCATATCAGATTTTTTTAAATCCTTGATATATGCAGATGTTATACAGATTTTCTTACCAGTGTAATAATGTTATACTGAAGAATAACCATCCTGCAGGCTTCAAAGGACGAGGTCAGCAATATTTCCCACCATGGCTTGGGGGAAAAGGATAGTTTTGTCTCCTTTTGTATTCAAGTTGATGCACAGTGCATTTTGTGTCTAAGTAACTGTTGACTAAAAGATTTTGTAGTGTAAAGGGTGTTATACAAACTATAATGGTGTGCTTCAAACAAACAAATGCTAGGCCCTTTCACTTTTGTTGTATATTACGAAGCTGTTAAATATGTGGTTTGAAATACCTTTGAACATGTGGAAATATGTAGCATGTGTCTTTAACTCAGACAAAGATTCTAATTGCACAAGTTGTGTTCTAGCCAGTTGTGGTTTATTTGTTCAGAAACACAAATGTGAATTGCACTCTTTATCACCAGAATATTGTGTAAGTTCCGTGATCTTTAAACAGCTCAGAAGTAATACTTGAACTTCAATTGAGTAGCACAAAGTTTACAGAGCCCCTTTTAAATGTTAATTAGTTCCAGTTAAGTTTTACTTTTTTTTTTTTTCTTTTTCCAAATGCAACTGGGTATTTTCTTGTAAAACAGTGTGTATTTTATTTTGCTACATAGCAAAAGGCTTCCACTTCTGGAAGATTTTATTGTTCTTAAACAAGGTCAGCCAGGTACCAGATTCTAAAAGAACACCCCCCCCCCTTAAGTGGCCTTCTGATTGCACAAATGTGCTGCTACCCTCTCCAATCTCCCTTACCCTGAGGAGGTCAGTAAAAGTGATGGAGGAAGTGCAAGGCTTGCTCTCCCAACCCTCACCCCCATCCCTTACCCAGGATGTCCAGTCCAATGCAAATGGTTCCATTGCACACATAGAGCACACCGGAAGTTTGTATACTGGCCTCTTTTCCTGTCTTCAAATGTGCAAGAATTCTAAATTGTCATCTGGAATAGGTTCCATCTTTTATGTGTGTTAGATCAAACCAAAGAAGCCCCCAGCCATGCCCAAATGCTGCTCCAAAAGCCTGCCTTCCAGTCCTTACAAAAACCTTGCAGGATTAAATGTGTTAACTTTTTTATTTTTGTACAGTTTCTAAGTGATTTTTTGCTAGTGATGTTAAACTGAATTAAGTTTATTTGAGGAGTGTGAGCACCTCCTCCGTTTAAATAAACTGGTGACTTTCCTTTCATTTTTTACAAGTGGAAACCCATTGTGTGCCTCTCAATTTAAGGGTTTCTGATTACATTATTCTTAAGACCAGCATTGATCCTTTATATACAAAGATATGTTTTCCTTGTTTTTTATTACTGTTTCAGAAGAAAATGAACCTTTTATTTTGCTCCAGACCCAGTAACTGCGCTGGTATATAGACGCACTGAGAAAAAGAAAACTAAACAAACAAAAATACTTTTGTAACCACCTCTGACTGCTTTTGTATATCAAAGTTGATTACTTTTGAGATATTTGGATCTAGTTTCTAAGTTATTTTAATGTTTTATATGTTCCCCAAAATTACTTTAAATCAGTCACCAGCATAAAAAATTTTTGATGATGCAATGGTGAGACTTGTAATAAGCAAAAAGCTACCTGGAGTAGCTCTTCCTTCTTCTTAGTAACCTGGTTTTTTTATTAGAGTGGGACATCACAGATTATCTGAAACCCTTTCCTTATAACTAGGTCCTCCCTCCTTCCACATTGAATTGCTTACTAGTTTGAAGAAGCTATTGGAAGTGGGCATTTTATATGACATGTATGGCTTTAAAATATTAAAAATGAACAAAAAAGAAAAAAATGAAAAGGTTTATGTGGGTCTGTAAGGTATGGCTGTGGAAAGATATTGTAGTAGTTTTGACACTATTGTTATTACCTTTAAAATCATTTACCCAATAAAATGTTAAAACCGAATCCTTGTTTTGAATTTGTTTGTTTGCTTGTTTAACATGCCTCATGATAGGATGCTAGGCTCAATGGTATTTCTGTGTTTAAAAGACAGGGTCTCCTGTGCCTTATGAGGCCAAGGGCGATCATTCATGAGCTGGTAGGGGACATTGGCCAACCATAAACAACACACATGATGAAGTGCAGACCTGTTTTTTTTTTTTCCTTTTGTTTTGTTTTTTGTTTTTAACATTAGGCCTTGCTCTTTTTCAGAGTACAGGTTGGATCCTGAAAATGTTCTTTATCTGGTGGCCACCCAATGGCTGTACACAATGGTCATGCTACACACTAACGCCATGTACTTTGCCAGTTCCAGAGTGGTACTTGTGACTCCTGGTGACTTCCAGCTTGGGGAAAATGCCTAAGCTTAGGGATAGGGCTGCTGCTGCTGTGTCTTTCAAGGGCCAGCTAAGATCTTGATTGAAGAAAGGGAACACTTGCAGTGTGGAACTCCAGCAGCTGCCACTTGGGTCTGTTCTGTATGGGAAGGCTCTTTATTAACCCTTTGCTGTCATGCTTTCATCATGCATGACATGCATGATGAGTTTCTGACTCAGATGTTAGTTGAATATAAACAGGACAATTTTTCAGTTACATTTCCCCAAAGCCCTAGTACCATGAGAATTTTATAACATGTGCTTATGTCAATCATAGTACCTAAAAACAGCAATCTCACACCCTAAGGTACTATTGTGGTTTGGGCTAGTACTCTGTTAAGGCAGTCATTATATTCTTGTGGTTTATTCATTTTCATCCTTTGTATTTAAGTGGACATTGAGATTTCTTGATTATTATTTAGACTGTGTTAATAGTTTCAGGTAGAATGGAGTAATAATATAGGCCCACAGCATTCTTTTTATAGCATCAACAGTGAACTCAATGGTCTGGACAGATTTCAGCTTCACTAATCAAATTCCACCTCCCACAATCGGTTCTCAAATTTCAGTATTCCATCTTTAGATTGCATGCTGCACTAGGCACCTTTTAAATAGCTCCACTACTGCAGAAGGCAAGTGTGGATTTGTAGTCTGAGGCACTTCTCTGTTCATGGGACATCATCACTATGGGATCCTGCCAATGTGAGGTAGGGAAAGTGCTGGGGGAAAAGCACCCCTGAAGGTTCCCAGCTGTGAGATGGCAGAGCTGGTGAACAACTGACTGCCCATTCAATATGGATCCTGCTGCTTTCTTTGGCTCTGGCTTTGGGAGCTGAAACCTGTGTGAGTTTGGATCAATTGAATTCATTCTTCCTTATTTTTTTTCCTTTCTTTCTTTTCTTTCTTTCTTTCTTTCTTTCTTTCTTTCTTTCTTTCTTTCTTTCTTTCTTTCTATTAATTACAGTTTACTCACTTTGTGTCCCAGCTGTAGCCCCTCCCTGGTCCCCTCC